AGGTGCTCTTTGACAACACTGTCGACCAAGTGAGATACGCCGTTCCACGTTCACAGTGAGGGGTAGCGATGGCAAAGCCATATTCACAAGACGACAACTTCCACTTCACGTCTGTGGGGCTCTGACGGCGCATCGAGTGGTACGGTGCATCTTGCAGTGCAAGCGTACGGTGTCAAACCGAGCTCAGGGCGAGCAACCTTCCAAAGGCTCCCGCCCTGACTGGCGCCTGTGGCAAACGCATACCTGCCGGTTCTCCGAGGTGCTCGTTCGTATGAACGGAGAACAGTGCTGCTTTTACCCTATTAAGAACGTACCTGCAACACTGGGAAAATGGAGGCATCATGGTGGCGAGCACCCTAACGGGGGAGAAATATGTAGGAGCTGTTACGTACCTCCTGACATCGTAGACCATTGGGCACAACTTCTCCACTCTTCGCCGAGTCTCACGCTCCATGAGCTACGAGAGAAGACTAACGAGCGATTTGTAGCAGGTAATTATAGTAATGGTACTGTGGAGTTCCTTGCTAACAAAGGGCTCCGAAAATATACCCAAGTCCGTGGTGTCTACCGATCGCTCAAGGATAACGGCAAGGGTGGCTTAAACCTCGACAGCTTCATCGAGCAAGGCAGTAACCTACGCCTGTATTTGGAGGAGCTTCGGCAACAAATGGTCCCAGTCTCGGCGAGTCTGAATGCAGTAGAGAGCGGCTCCGCAACGGACGATGACCTTACCAATGTTCACGAAGCGGATCGCTGCTTCATCCTGGACAACATCCTTTGCGAGAAAGAATTGAAGCCAAATGGTAGATACGAGGTGACGGAGCTGGCCATGGTCTTCACAAGTCTGAGAATGTTGAGGCATCTACAAGGCTCTACGACTATCGGTTTGGATGCAACCTACAACATGATATTCGCAAATGTTGTACTCACTGTGGTTTGTGTCCTGCCCCGAGGAGGAACGGCTCAGCCAGTTGCCCTGTGCATGATGAGACGAGAATCCACTAACTCCGTGGCACACTTCCCTGCGGGGGTTGATAGCAGCAGCGAGGGCGATCGACCTGACCAACATCGAACCATCGGAGGTTGTGATGGATGCCATCCATCCATTGGGTGGCTCACCGAGCTTACATAGCGGTGTCCGAGCAGCACTTGGTGGCAGCGTCGTAATCATATCGTGTTTCTACCACATGAAGCAACGAGCTCGCAAAGCCAAGACGAACGCCCGCTTGACTATGAAGACCTGGGCCCTCATCAACAAGGACTTAGACCTGATGTCAGAAGCCTGGAATAGAGCAGAATGGAGAAGGCTGAGGGACTTATTCCTCAAAAAATGGAGCTCAGATGAGAATCCTACTAAAATTGTGATGAGCTCGACACGACTATATGAATATAATTAATCAGAGTCTTTGGACAGCGTCGTGACAACAAGTGATGCAGAACGAGAGGCCATCAACATGTTCCTCGAAGACATAGACGGATACCGAACAGACGACGACGGGAGGAGCCACTGGGGTATATACTCCAGCGAGGTGTCAGGTTGGTCCAATAACTCACTTTATGTAGTATGAAGGAGCTTAGGTCCGAGAACCAATAACGCCGTGGAGAGATTCCACTCCGAGCTGAAGAAAACCGTACTAACCAGCAAGTAAGAAAGAACTATAAACACCGAAGATCGTACTCACCGACAGATACAGAAGAAGTCTCCAGCAAGCTGGATGCAGATCTCTCAATATGGTCGAGACGAAGC